AATGAGTGTCCTTTCTTTTCCATAATAAACAAGAAAAGTTCACACCTTGGGCTTGGACATGCATTCAGTTTCTCCAAGGAGAGTCCCTGCTCTCTCTGAAGAAACCACGAGTATACAGAGTTCATAATTTTTCTCCCAGAGTAAAAAAAGTGGCCACTGTGAGCCACTCCTGAGAGTCTCTCTCAGGAGATAGTACTTCTATATAAACAGCCAGTATATTTTGATTCTCCCTCCCTCTTCCCACAGAAGGAATAAAGAATATAAAATCATCAGATATTAGGATTTTTGCTTACTTGGCTTAACACTGACAACAACATTCTCTGCAGAATGCTGAGGTGGGAACCTGCAATTCTCTCCTTGTCCTTCGCTGCTGCCATATTCAATGACTTCTACTTGTCCAAGAGGTACACTCCATTTTAATAAATACCTTTGGCCAGTTGCCACAATGCCACTACTTTCATACGAAGACCTGGAAGACAAATCAATTAATGATTTTATGAGTTGTTATAAAAATTGCTCATGTTATCAATTGTATCAATTTTTATTTTAACTTACAAAATCTACCTACACAGAAGTCTGTAGCTTGTGCATAATATTTAAGTAACATACACACACACACACACACACACACACACACAAATGTTATAGGTGTAAGTGTCAGGCAGAGCAAAGTCCATAATGACATAAACAATTTCTGAAGTGCTTAAACATTTCAGAAAACATTCTCTACTAATAGAGAACTGCTAATTAACTAAATCATCTCTGATGATAAATGAGTTAGCCCCCAGACAAAACGGAAATAATGATTCATGCATTATACGCCAGAAAGAACCACTACAATCATCTCCTCTGAGCTATGGTACTTGCCACAAGACAAAAAACTTAATATTTTTTGTGAGAACCAGAGCATACATCTAACCTTGAAAAAATTTGTGAGCAAATCAAGAACCATTGCAAACTTTGGTAAATTGTTCCAATGGTTAATAAAAACTCTTAAACAACTGGACTTCAATTCTAGTCCAAATTTGTTATGGCTTTAAACTTTAAGACATTGCTATGTCCTCGCCTGCTAAAGCAAGGAGTCCATTATCACATGTTCCCTGCTGTACTGTGCTTTCATATTTTCTTTGAAATGTGGAGTTCTTGGTGTCTTTCATTATAAGGCAAGTTTTCCAGTCCTTTAATCATTTCTGTAGCTCTTCTCTGAACCCACTTCATCAGCATTCTTCATGACCCAGCACCACCAGAACTGGACACAGTATTCAAGCAGCAGTCATACCTATGCAAAAAGCAAGGAAGCAGGGGTGGATCTAGGGGGGAGGGAGTGCACTGGTAGCCCACTTTGATTTTTGGCCCAACCAAAATTTAAAACCAACTGCTTGGCATGGCAGCAGAGTTTCTAGTCAGGCAGTGTTGAGGAAGTCAATTTACTCTGTGGTTTATTATAATCTACCTGATCCCTTCTAAATTCTTTATTCCACAGGTGTTAATAACACCCTCTTCTTTTTAATGGTCTTGATATTCCACCAGTAAAGCTATCCTTTGTTCTGCAATTCTGCTGGCTGATAGCTGTTTCTGGTAATGAAGCTCCGATTTCATATCTCTTCAGATTGTTTTTACTCACTCCAATGAAGTTATTTGATTTTGTCTTCAATCTTAAACTGAATAATATAGCCCTAAGACCCCTAGCGTATTAGTAAAGCTTCTAGTTTATTTTTAACTGGAATAACATATGTTGTTTGATATGTGATGATGCACCTCACCATGCACATCCCCCTTTTCCATGTGCATCCCCTAAACCCACCCATGAAAGGTAGTATGGGCACCTTACTCCTATTCAATCTTTCCTTGATTATACCTTCAATGATGCCTTAGTTCTTTTGGCTACAGTGTCACTTCAGCAAGCTTTATCAATAAGAGTTGTATGCTTTCTTAGAGGTCACTGATAAAAAAGTTAAGGAGAATAGGCTAAAACCAGATTCCTGCAGGACCCCACAGGAAACGTACATATTTAGTTATAATTCTCAAAGTACAATTACACATCAAAACCTAGCAGTCAGCAAATTATTTAATATGTGCCATGTTGATTCTGGATTGCTCTCATTTATTAATCAAGATATCATGTGTATAAAAGTCAAAATCCCTAAAGCTGAGGCATCAAACAAATGCCTTGCAGAACCAAGTTTCCAGCCTGTGGGGCTCCTGGCAGGCCACGTTGGGAGCGTGCCTGCCACAGGATCTGGGGCTATGAGACCCCAATGGGCATGGCTGTCAATGGTGGGAGGGGAGGGGCAAGCAAGGATACAGCTCCATTTGTCCTAGGGCCCTTGGCCCAGGTGTGGCCACATCTCTCTCTCTTCCCCCCTCCCTGGAGCTGTAGCATGCCCTGATCCTCTCTCTCTCTCTCCCTACCCTTCTCTCCCCAACCCTGTCCCTCCCTGCCTGGAGCTGTAGCACACCCCAATCCTAATTCGCATCCAGAACCTGTCAGCTCTGTCTGCAGCTGTGCAACTAGCACAGCAATAGGCGCACTCAGCTTCTAGCCTCTGGCTGCCTATTCCTTTGCTGTTAACCCTTTTTGGCTGCCTGAGCACTGTTTACTACTGTTTTCCCCTTTTAAAGAAAGAGGAGCTGTAGGCTCCCTGTTACATCCCCGCTGCCTAATGTTACGGGTGAGTTCATGAAGAGTTCATAAGGGTGAGTTCAGGACTTTAAGAAGGCCTTTGATACTGTCTCTCACCCCATTCTCATTAACAAACTGAGAGACTGTGGCATTGATGCCTACACAGTTGGATGGGTCAAAAATTGGCTGATGGGGCGCACCCAGAGAGTGGTGGTGGACGGGTCATACTCAGCCTGGTGGGATGTGAACAGTAGGGTCCCCCAGGGCTCAGTCCTGGGGCCTACACTGTTCAACATCTTCATCAGCGACTTGGATGATGGGGTGGAAAACACGTTGTCCAAGTTTGCCAACAGACACCAAGATGTGGGGAGACGTAGGCACGCTCGAAGGGAGAGAGAGAGGCTGCAATTAGACTTAGACAGACTACAGAGGTGGCTGGATGGTCATAGGATGGGATTCAATGTAGATAAATGCAGGGTGCTGCACCTTGGGAGAAGGAATCCACAGCACACATACAGGCTAGGGAGCTCCCCCCTTGTGAGCGGAAAGGGATCTTGGAGTCATTATTGACTCCAAGATGAACATGAGCCGCCAATGCCAGACCACAGCCAGCACAGCCAACCATACCTTGTCATGCATCCAAAGGCGCATCTCAAGCCAGTCCAGAGAGGTGATACTCCCGCTCTATGAGCCCTATGAGGAGAGGCTGAGGGACCTGAACCTGTTCAGCCTCAGCAAACGGAGGCTGAGGGGAGATTTGGTGGCTGCCTACAAACTCGTTAGGGGAGATCAGCAGCAAGTAGGAAGAGCCCTGTTTTCCCCAGCAGCACCTGGGGTGACGAAGAACAATGGCCAGAAGCTGCTAGAGAATAGGTTCAGGTTAGAGATTAGGAGGCACTATTTCACTGTCAGGGTAGCTAGGATCTGGAACCAACTTCTTAGGGAAGTGGTACTCACTCCTACCTTGGGTAAATTCAAAAAGAGGTTGGATGAACACCTGTCTAGGGTCATGTGATCCCAGTGTGTGCTTCAACCAGTGGCAGGGGGTTAGACTAGATGATCTATTCAGGTCCCTTCTGACCCCTAACTACTATGAAACTATGATTCCATCTTCGTTTTCTTGGAGTACCCAGATGAACTTCATCCAAGGGTACTGAAGAAAATGGCAGAGGAGATCTTGGAGTCTTTAACAAGGATATTCATGAAGTCATGGGACACAAGTGAGGTACCAGAGGACTGGAAAAGGGCCAACGTAGTGCAGACAAAATGGAAGATCCAGGGAAATACAGGCCAGTTATTTTCCCCTCTATACCCAGTAAGCTACTGGCATATATCCTAAGGAAGTCCATTTGCAGGCATCTGCAATTTGTTGAGGGGCCCTGCAGGCTAGATGAAGGCATTTGGTGGGCCAGATCCAGCCCATGAGCCATATTTTGTCCACCCCTGTTCCCATGATTCTGTGTGTTGCTGGTTGCTGCATGGGGTTGGGAGGGAATCCTCCTCTCTCCCCTGCTATATGTATCAAGTTTTTTTCCTTCCTTAGAGGAACTGGCTGCTGGCTGCAGGCAATGCTGGGTATTTTGACTGAGGCATGCTAATGCTCCTGCTGGAACTTAAACCCAGAGGTTCCTGGCTAGGGGGTCTTACCCCTCTGCTCAGAGTTAGACCAATCATCATATTTGGGCACTGGAAGGAATTTTACCACATGGTCAGATTGGTACGTACTCTAGGGGCTTCTGCCTTCTTCTGTAGAAGGGTGCTGAAGCCTTGTTCCTGGGATCTCTTGAGCATATATCAACCACCTTTGCACAGCAGGGCATTGGATGCTGTGGTTCCTGTTTTACCTGGGGCAGGTTAGGGTGGTATATTTGGGTTCACTGTTTAGTTTTGCTAAGAGGCTTGATGATGAAGCTGTATAGGACAGTTTAGATAGGCATGATCTTGCCTCAGGCAGGGAGTTGAACTAAATGACCTTTTGAGGTCTCTTCTAGACCTTCTTCTTTATGATTCTATGAAAGGGCATTATAAGGCAACATCTTCCCCCATTCCCTGCCCAGTTCCCCAAAGGAAAGGGGGCAACACAGTCTGAAATTCCTCATTTTCCTGCCTCCCCAAGCAACAGCTTACTGCTCTTTTTCAGCCAGTCTGGATAGGTAGTTTAAAGCAATCCAAAAGTAATTTGCTTTCTGTAGGAAATGTACATCTCCATCAGGATTTATGAGGAAATAGTATGCCAAGGAAGCTTCACAGTCAGGGCGGCTAGGATCTGGAACCAACTTCCAAGGGAAGTGGTGCTCACTCCTACCCTGGGGGTCTTCAAAAGGAGGCTAGATAATCACCTAGTTGGGGTCACATTTGACCCCAGCATTCTTTCCTGCCCATGGCAGGGGGCTGGACTTGATGATCTGGCTCAGGTCCCTTCCGACCCTACCAACTATGAAGCTCCCTTTGGAAGGAAATAGTTTAATACCCATTTTACTTTGTTTTTCCCATTTCTTTGTATTTACTTGATCAAACCCATCGTACAGAGGACGAAAGAGACTCTAAAAGAAAATGTTTATCTGAAGAGAAGATTAGCTGAAGTATGGCCACATTGTGGCATAAGTTAAAAGTAATTAATAATAAGAGCATGAGAGAGATCAGACACATCCAAGCAACTACCAGTTTAGCAATTATCATGAGTAGAAGTCCATGTACAAGCAGCATAACTGATTTATACCACTGATAGTGATACAAAAAGAAATAAAAATATCCTAGAATATATGCTCTCTCAGCCAAACCTTCTGGGCTACATGCAGAACAGATCAAAATAATGTTCTTATGTGGACTTAAAACTTGTGGAAAATCTATGAAAAACCCTAGTTCTGGACACCCTGCAACTACAGATCTGGATGCATGACCCAGACATACAATAACATTTACTGCAGGGCAAAAATGAGTGATGCTTTACTAGGTGTCATCTGCTCTGGAATAACTGTCCATGTACACACTGTTACCCTCTAGTGAATGGAAACTGACCCACAGTAACTTAGCCTAGCATAGCATTGAGAACTAAATTACTGTAGTTTAGCTTACCCTTACTGCAAGGTAAGAGCATTCACAAAGGCTGTTACCATGGAACAGCTGACGTTCAGTAAAGCCCCATCCCTTTTATCCAGCATAAATTGTTTCTATGTCTATGTCCTACAATGCATAGCAGTAGGAGGTGGGCAGCCCTTTCACTGAAGTGAATAAAGCTTTTCTAAACACATTATTATGGAGAAGGTGTGGGTTGAAAAGGCAAGCCCTAATCCCAACTGCTAGAGAAAAAATAACCAAGCTTTCATGAAATGAGGTTTTGTGTTTTAACAAATCCCCATCACATGCATGCATCAAAATTACCATCCCCAACTAGGCTGGGGAAGCCCACAGGAAGAGGAACACTGTTTGACAATTGCATCAGATGCCTTATTCAGGAACTTGAAGCTCAGTGAGGGTCCTTTCACATGTGAAAGAAAAACAGGCTGCATTTTGCCACATTAGTAACAGTTACAAAGAATCCAGGACGTGATGTCATGGAACAGAATAATATAAGCAAAAGAAGTAATCCTGCAATGAATCAAAAAATATCCAGATGTGACCACAGGACTGAATAAAAGGGGAAGGAAAATAATCACATTTCCTAGTTAATAGGAAACCAGCTTGTGATCTTCCTGAACAGCAATGGGGATTCACTTACAGATACAAATCGAGACTTAGCACTTGCAACATTGCCTAATAGGTAATGAATTATCTAATATAGTCACACTTCAGTAACATAATGTAAGAACAGTTGGTGTATACAGTAAGCCTTAGGGAAGCTGCTATTAGAAAAAGGAAAAAGGTTTAATAGTCCACATATTCTCTCTCAGCATTTACCAACACAAGAAAAAAAAAATATTTACAGTACAACCAAGATACTAAAATGTGTGAACACACCCAGCACACAGGAAAGTGACAGGCTGATACTAATAATAGCTAACAATAGTATAGAAGAAAACATGCAAAGATGTTTTTCTCTAAGAACATCAGTCTTAATCCCTTTAGGTTTGAAGGGTGAACTCTCTCCCAACTGAAGTCAATGGGAGCACTGACACCAACTGCAATGCCATGTTTTCACCCCAGATCTGATTTTTTCACCACACAAATTGTGTCAATTTTAGCTGTGTGAGTATGCGAGAGACTGTGTTCATATGCACACAAAAACTGATTTTGCACTTAGCTCATCACACTCACCTATAACTTAAAAAAAGGTAAATATTCCCAAGTCTTCAAAAATAAAACAGCATTCAAGATCACTTAAAAGTTAATAAATACTGGTATGTGCGGGCCATATAATTTGCTACTATCTGTAATTCTCATCGATTGCTTTCAAGAGTATAAACTGAGCCTTACCGTGCACTGACTGTTGCACACATCAGTACATCATTCAACATGAAGAGTCGTCGTTCTTTGGTTTTGACAATTTCTCCCTTGTCATTGTAAACTGTTTCTATCATATCATCAGTCCGTATGAGGTATCTGTTTCCACTGCTGAGTAACTAGGGTTCAAAAACCATCCATATATTTAATACAGATAACATCCATCATCCAGTATGAAAACCAATAAAATACAATGGGATACCTCATTCTATATTGTTAAGCACATTCAAAGCTGGATGTAAGGATGTGAATTGACTGTCTCTCGTGTCTCATTGAGGATCAAGCTCTAAACTCCCTTTACAACATTCTGATAATGTAAAGAGGCCTTAAGATGAAATATACACCTACTCTGAGGACTTTTTATGATGCTATAAATCCTTGAGTGTATGACCATAAATTTCTACAACTGCTTTCTCCCCTCTTCTAGTCCAGCCCATTCACATTTACTCCATGGTTCCAACTCCGCCCAAGGAGGCAAGTACAGGTAGGAGGGTATGGAGTAATGGCTACCTTCTTTGCCTGCACTTGTCCACAGAGCTGACTGGCCACTGATAAAAACATATAGTTAGGGACCTACCAAATTCATAGTGGAAGTGGGCTGTGCGGCATCTCCTTTAACCTTTCAGGATTCCCTGCAAACCTCCCTATCTTCCCTGCCCATTGCTGATTGGCGCTGGTGGCCCTGCTACTTGCTGCTGGCTGGCTCAGAGGCAAGAATGGTGCCATATTTAAAACTGTAGTTTTCACCTCCCTGCCAATCAGGAGCGAGTGGTGGGCCCCTCTGCCAATCAGGGAGCACCCAGGGGAACTACAAGATTAAAGGAGCTGCTGTGCCGCCCACTTCCGCCATGAATTTGGTATGTCCATAGTGCTCACAGTGCATGAGAAGCTGCCATGAATGAGATGCAATGGCACCTAGAGCTCCCACTGGTGTGGTGTGGCATAGCATTGCACCCAAACAGGTGCCAGTACCTAAAACATAAAAATCTTTCTCTTTCTATTTAAACCCCCTCAGTTATTTGTAGACAATCACCATGTTGCTACTTAGACAAACCAGAATATAGTTTATGGTATAAATGCACAGCGGGGAAAGATAAAAGTCTTAAATCATCCCTGTACCTCCAGCATCCCCAGAACTGAAAGCAGTCTCACAGGAGCACTCCTGCCTGCGTTATGAGTACAGTGGATCATGTTAAACCAACCGATAAAAGTTTAAAAAATGCACCTACAATGATTCCAATTATAATTTATTAATCAGCACCACCTTTCTGAAATAGATTTCAGTGCTGCATAATGCCTAGAAATCCTCATGCTTCAGTTGTATGCTCTAAAACAGGGGTTTTCAACCTTTTTTGGTCAAGGTACCCCTAATGGCCAGTCAAGAAGCTGGGAGTCCCCCAGAGGCCAGTTGACAAGCGCGGCCAGTTGAAGGGAGGGGGTGGGGTGCCACCGGTGAAACCAGAAGTGCCACTGGCTTCTCAGCACCACTGCCGTGTACGCCCTGGGGCCTTCCAAAGTACCACCAGGGGTATGTGTACCCCCGGTTGAAAACCCCTGCTCTAGACGATGGAGAAGACTTGATACCTCCTTTTAGAAAATTACTTAGACATCATTCACTATTTCTTCCTTTGAATAAGGCTAGGAAGTAGGAGTATTGATCTGCATACGTGCATGTGTATAGCCTTCCAGTTATTTCATACTTCATTTTCTAGAAGGAACATGGTTTTGCACAGTAAAACAGGCATGAAACTATATACAATGAAGCTGGTAGCCCAAACATGGATTCATGATTAAAGCCAAAACGGTTGTTCATGCATCCATTCCTTTTAAGTCCCTCTCACAGTTCTCTTGAAAATATTTCTGTTTTACCACCCAAAAAATTGAGTAGTACAGGCAGACTTAATACAGAAAAGCTATTTGATACATCTGTTGGCATACCGGAACTACCTTGTCATTAAAGGGAAATAGTAGTTCATTGCACTGCATATAGGACCAAATCCTGGACCATGGACAAAATCAAACCAGACTGTCCTTGTGAGAATGATCTATATAAGGATTTTCTATGGACACAGCATTCTTCCCCAGTGTTCTTATGCAACACCAGTGCAGCTGCTGGTACCATGCACAAAGTAGCAAAATTTTAGCCAGTAGATATATGGCTAGAAAAAGATGTTGCCAAATAAAGTGGATCAACCCTGCCTGTGTATGTCAAGGATATGCTCTGGCACATCCACTTCATTGGGCAAAACACATGGTGCCTGTGGTCCTGCTTGTTAATCTAAAGGGACAAGGGGGGACGTGTTCCCTGTTTACAAAACCACACCACTAGCATTTTCCAGGCTTGAGAGGCCCAGTCCTACATGCTCCAGGAATTCATGTTCAGCATTGGGACCCCTAAGAGCACCTGCCCAGCCTTGCCACTTCCAGAAACATGTTCCTGGCAATCTCCGGGATTGGGCTCCTGGGGCACCTGCATGGCTTTCCTCATGTACAGAGATGCACCCCACCAATCTCTGGGACACACGTGGAAGTTGGGGTTCTCTGTTTCCAGAGAATTTCCCTAGAGATTACTGGAGGTGCATCTATGTAGACAGCTAATAGGCAACCCCAGCCCCAAGACTGCACCACAATGGACTGATTTTCCCCATTCCCAGGGGCCTACCACCAGCAATCTCAGAGGAGAGCCTCTGGAAGTGGGGAACCCTAACTTTCCCTGCTTCCACAGATGCACCCCAGATATTATTGGGGGTGCATCTCTACACATGGGGAAAGCCAGGCTTGAGGAGCCCAATTCTGCACAGGGAATTCACAGACCATGAAGGACTGGGACCCTCAAGCCCAGAAAACACCTGCCTAGGGTAAGAGGAGAGTGCAGGCAGCTCTCGGCTGCCTGTTCTCTCCCATCCTAATGCAAATAGAAGTCCACTGCAATAAAGCTGCCCTGTTTATTACTACCTTTTCTCACAGCCACATTGTGGCATAATGAAAGGGCCAACTTCAATGAGCTTAGGAGACTAGTAGGGGAGGCACTAAGGGCCCAGAAGGTAGAGGAGATGGGAGTCCACGAGGGATGGTCGTACCCTAAGGGGGCAATCCTCCAGGCCCAAAGGATAATAGTCCCTGAGAAAAGCAAGGTGGGTAAGAGTGCTCAGAAACCCCCTTGGCTCAGCAAGGGCATTCAGCAATGCCTGAAGACTAAAAAGAAGGCGTACAACCAGTGGAAGGGAGGAACTATCACCAAGGAGGAGTATTCCTCCTCAGCCTGGGAGTGTAGGAGGGCTATTAGGAAGGCCAAGGTAGAGATGGAACTCAGGCTAGCATCCAGGATTAAGGAAAACAAAAAGTCCTTTTTCAAGTACATTGGGAGCAAGAAGAGGGCACCAGGCAATGTAGGGCCCCTGCAAGACACAAATGGTAATCTGGTGGCCACGCCAGACAAGAAAGCTGATATTTTTAACAGTTTCTTTGCCTCTGTTTTCCTGAACAGGGACCGGGATATCCCACCTACCAGAGGTAGAGACAATCTTGGGGATAGCTCTATCAAGCTTTCAGTCAGTGCAGATGTAGTTAGGGATCTTCTGGAAGGGCTAGACATTTTTAAATCTGCAGGTCCAGATGCCCTCCACCCAAGGGTGTTGAGGGAGCTGGCAGGGGTCATCGCCTTGGGAAGCTCTTGGCGAGAATCATAAAGGAGCACATCTGTGGGGGGCCTGCAGGGGAGATCATGCTCAGGGGCAATCAGCATGGGTTCACCAAAGGCAGGTCTTGCCAGACCAACCTGATTGCCTTTTACGATCAAGTAACTAAATCCTTGGATGATGGTGTCGCTGTGGATATAGTCTTTCTAGACTTTAAGAAGGCCTTTGACACTGTCTCTCCCCCCATCCTCATCAATAAATTAAGTGACTGCGGCATTGATGCCTGCACAGTTGGATGGGTAAAAAATTGGCTGATGGGGCGCACTGAGAGAGTAGTGGTGGATGGGTTGTACTCAACCTGGTGAGATGTGAGCAGTTAGGTACCCCAGGGCTCGGTCCTTGGGCCCGCACTGTTTAACATCTTCATCAGCGACTTGAACGAGGGGGTGGAAAGCATGCTGTCCAAGTTTGCTGATAACACTAAGATGTGGGGCGAGGTAGACACACTTGAAGGGAGAGAGAGGCTTCAACTAGATTTAGACAGACTACAGAGTGGGCAAACAAGAATAGGATGGGGTTCAATGTAGAGAAATGCATGGTGCTGCACCTTGGGAGAAGGAATCCACAGCATACATTCAGGCTGGGGAGCGTCCTTCTTGAAAGCACAGAGGCAGAAAGGGATCTTGGAGTCATTACTGACTCCAAGATGAACATGAGCCAACAATGCCAGACCGCAGCCAGCAAGGCCAGCCATACCTTGTCATGCATCCAAAGGTGCATCTCAAGCCGGTCCAGAGAGGTGATACTCCCCCTCTATGCGACATTGGTCAGGCCGCCGT